AACTCAAGTCACGGTATTCAGTCGCCGAGCTTGTAAGAATAATTGACACAAACTAGATATCTTGTACCACAAAAAAAAATCTCTATAGTATATAAATATTTGAATCTTATTATGATCATCTATACATGATACTTTTTATGGGGAGTAATTTTTCAACTTAAATCGACTTAAAGTCTTAAATATGAATTTGGATATGATGAATTTAGGAACATTTGATAAAATATTTGACTTAGGCCTAAAAAATTATTGGGCCAGCCCTAGAACAAGTGAACTCCAATAATCTTACACAATATATATATATATATGTTTTGTTAAAAACAAGGTAAATTTTCATTAATCAAAAACAACCATAAGCGGGAAAGGCACCATAAAATCAGGCGTCATTTCTTCCTATACATCACATTCATTAAGGCATCTTGCATACCTAGCCAATTGTTGTGCCACAAAATTGTCATTGCACCTTACTGTGGATAAAAAAAATATATATTTAAAGCCATTTATAGTTGTCCTATTGGTGATTATAAAATCTATTCATTACATTATACAACACCGATGATGTAGTCTCACCGCTACATTGAATATTTTCGACCATAAACAGTAGTTCAAGTGGTATTAAAGACAAATTATAAATTCAGGTGTCCTGATTTTGAATCTTGGTAACCTATTAAGATCAGACTATGAGAAATTTATCTCTCATTAATACCCTAATATTGACGTGGATGACCTGTCTTTGACCAGACCAAGGAAAAGATTATTCGAAATGCACATAAACTGATCTAGACACTTCACCGTTAAACCAATATATATATGTACTAGCAACTGCCCGTGCCTAAAGGCACGGTGTTACTCGTAAATTAGTTATAAATATTTGTTCATACATAAATGTAAAATAAAATACAACATTGTAGTAAACGACGAACAAAATGAGTCTGTTAATATTTTTTATAACATCAACCAACATGCATAGCATATATTTTCACATTNTGTATGATACCTTTATTAATATGATATTTTGTGTATAATTAATTTTTTGTGTGCATTATTATATGTGTAGTATATGTTTGTATATGTGCATTCAATACTATTAACAATTGTGACACAATTAAGTATTTTTACATCCAAACGTGATTTTTATAAAATTCATTAATTTAAGTATTTTAAATTTTTTATATCCAAATAATACTTATTTAATAAAAGTGTTTTTCTTATAAACACTTTTGATAAACATTTATTAAAAAAGTATTTTTTGGATTTTATAAGTTATCTCAAACACACTCTAAGTCCTCTGGAGACATGTTTTAGACCAACTCAAGTCACGGTATTCAGTCGCCGAGCTTGTAAGAATAATTGACACAAACTAGATATCTTGTACCACAAAAAAAAATCTCTATAGTATATAAATATTTGANGAAATTCAACCGACTTCCAAAAGATACGGTCTTCTATTGAATTTGTATGATTTGAGTTTATAGTTGTGTTTTTAATTTTATATCATTATTCTCGGTTACTTATATTCTTAGTATATTTTCTTAAACTAAACGTTATTTAGTGTTGAATTATTTAGTAAATATTGTTACTTCGTATTGTTCATTAAATATTGAATTTATATAATTCGTATTAATAGTATTACTTATAATTTTGTATCGTTTCTCTTGTTTGTAATTTTGTATCATTTTTCTCGGGTATTTAAATTTGGATTATTTAGTAAATATTGTTACTTTGTGTTGTTCATTAAATATTGAATTTGTATAATTCGTGTTTGTATATGAATTTAATCTTGTATATTTTAAATGTTAAGCATATTTTTTTTAATATATCTCTGGATATCTGAATTGTTCAATAACTTGAATTTAATCTTATATATTTTACATTGTAAGCATATTTTATTTGTTAAATTAAATTTTTTGCAAGTTATGTTTTTTTTTTATTGATTATGAAAAAAATAAAATTGACTATTGCTATTGAATTTGTATAATTCGAATTTATAGTAATGATTTTAATTTTATATCATTTTTTTGAATTATTTATATTCTTAATATATTTTCTTAAACTAAACGTTATTTAGTATTAGATTACTTAGTAAATATTGTTGTTTCATGTTGTTCACTAAATATTGAATTTGTATGATTCGTATTCATAGTATTACTTATAATTTTGTATCGTTTCTCTTGCTTGTAATTTTGTATAATTTTTCTCGGGTATTTAGATTTGAATTATTTAGTAAATATTGTTACTTTGTGTTGTTCACTAAATACTAAATTTTTATTATTCGTGTTTGTTTATGAGTTTAATCTTATATATTTTAAATGTTAAACATATTTTCTTTAATATATCTTTTGATATCTGAGTTACACAATACATTGAATTTAATCTTGTATATTTTACAGGTTAAGCATATTTTCTTTGTTAAATTATATTTTTTGAAAGTTATGTTTTTTTAATTGATTATGGAAAAAACAAAATTGACTATTGAATTTGTATGATTCGTATTTGTAGTATTGCTTGAATGAAAGAGAGAGATACAGAGGAATATTTTTGTGATATATACTATCTATCTAATATTTATTATATAATTTTCCTTCAGAGAGAAATACAGAGGAATACTTTTGTAATATATTATCTCTTTTTGTAATATATAGTATCTATCTATAGAGAGATGCAGTATTTGCTTAAATCAGACACTATCTAATATTTTTCGTGACATTTTTGTGAGATACAGAGGAAAATATTGTGAAAAATTGATACTTTTTGCGTGAATTGAACGTTAGATAATACTTTTTTTTGTCATGAAACAATCTAAACCACTTTTTGTCTTCAACATTCAAATTTGTTCTACTTTATCATATATATATAGAGAGAGAGGATAAGAGATGGGAGAGTGTGTGTTTAAAATATCTGTGAGGGAGAGAGAGAAAATTATATACATATGAGAGTTGGTTGTATAAGAGAAAGAGAGTTATATTACAGATGGAAATCTTAGAGTTTTAAAAAGAATGAAAGTCTAATTAGAATTATCGGATCAATAATTCTCAAACAATCTAAACTGCGAAAATATCAAGACAAATTAATATAGTTATTTTATTATGTGAATTTTAAACTACGCATTTGAACAATTTATTATATAGATTGAATTATATATACAACCGTCTAGGTCAATCTGTTGAATGGGATGAGGAGAGATAAAAAGAATATAGCAAAGTCCTATAGGAATGTAGATATCTCTCTAATGGTTTAAATAGGGATAAGGAGAGATAAAAGAATGTAATAGAGTCTTGTAGGGATGTCGATTAATTAAAATCGTTGGATCGATAATACTAAATCAATATGAACTACGAAAAACTCAAGATAAACCAAACTAACTACTTTATTATATAGATATATAAATATATTTATATAACAAAGTACAATACAATTCAAATATCAAAAGATAAACAAAATAATTTTTATTTTTCGCAGTTGAAATTTTTTTAAATTTTATTTTAAAATTAATCCGACGATTAATATTAACGCCCCAAATTTAATAGAGAAAATGAGTCCTTAAAGGTGTGTTTGAGATAATTTTTTAAAAATGTTTATAGGATTTAAAACTTCTCATAAGTATAAAAAAAAATAGTATTTATAACTGCCTTACCACCCCTATCACCTCGTCATCACCACAACTACTGCAACCCTACCACCACCCTTATCGCCCCACCCCCACCCCCACCAGTGTCATCTCATCATCACCTCTTCCATAATAACCATCATCATTGCCGCCGCCTCCACCATAACCATTCCCCCCCCCCCCTTATCACCACCACCACCACTGTTACTGTCACCTTACCTCAACCGTCACCGTCACACCACCACTCCCACTAATACCATCTTCACTGCCATCATCACAATCGGTCATCGTCACCTATCACAATCATTACCATCTTCCAATACCACCACTTCTCTCAACAACCGCTCGCCCCACTATAAATAATGTTTAAATTTTTTTTCTTTTTCTCTATATTTATAATTTAATTTTAGGTATAAATATAAATATATTTATTATTAATTATTTTTATTTATTATTTTATACCTTTAAACACGAAAAATAACATATATTCTCACATAAGCCCCGCATTTAAAGGAGCTCAATCGAATGGATATATAGTCATCTGTTGTATTGGGTCCAAAAGATCTAAGTTGTAGACAGAACTGTGACTACCAATTTATCTTTGAGACGACCCCACAGAATCACCAAGTCGGCACAAGGAAATGAATCCATTACTTGGACTATATTTTTCTGTTTGTCTTTACCTTCCCCCATTTTCTTCGTTTTTCGACACATGGATTGACCAAACGAAACCTTCTATGGACTATGCTCATCCAACTGGAAAAAAATAATAATAATAATATATCAAACCTTATATAAAAAAAAAATAGATGGCCAATAATCTTTTTATTTCATCCCTATCTTTAGTCTCGTTTTTTGATCAATCCAATATTACTCTAGTCCTATTTGATTTCGAGTTCGTTCGTTTCACCCTCTTCAACGACTTAAGTTTGTTGAATAGATATTTGTTTAATATGGTATCACAAGAAATATTGTGGTCGTACCTCACCGTTATTATAATTATTAAAATAATTTTCACGTGCTAAAACCCAAAATTTAGAGCGTGTTAAAATATAAATAATTAAGTTACACCGTCTCTAATATCTTTAAGTTTTTAAAATAGATGATTATTTAATATGAGATACGAGAGAATCAATTCAACCAAATCTATCTTCTGATCTCTAAAGAAGTCATCTGCAATGAATCAAATGTCTACATTATTCAATCTTAATGAAGCAAGACGACTTAAAAATGAGGTTAGTAATTAGTTTAATGATCAATGCCTCAAATGTTGGACTTTAGGATCGTGAGTTTGAACATTATAGTCCCAAAAATTAAATAACCAGAAAAAAAAAAAAAAAAACCTATCTCAACACAGAACCAATCAAGCACTATAACTCAGTGAGCCCAGGCATATTTACACATCAATAGAATGCGAGTTCATCAACTGATTCATACTGCTCTTTTGATCATCAGAATTGCTTTCGTGTTGAAAGTCAAACCACGACTCTCCATCACGAGCACCATTCTCATAATCATCTGGGAATCCGAGAGACTCCACCACATCTTCTGTGCTCCACCCTGCACGCAATAACCTAAGAGACAACACCCTCTCGTGCCACACCACACCCTCCTTATCTCTCAACACCTTATTATCAGGATGATCATGTTTCTTATTATGATGATGATCATGCTCATCATCACCGTCCATCATCAACATCTCCCTAACATCATCCTCTTTCCACCCTCCATCCCTCAACCTCCAACAAGCCTCCTCCAAACACCCGCCCAGACACAAATTCCCACTCCACCACCCTCGAGTGTCCCCACGCGCCACCACCCTCTCCTCTCTCATCACAAATTCAGTCCAAAACTCGATCCTCCTTGCCTCCGTCGCCGCCCAGGCTGGTACATTCAACAAGTTCGACAAGCTCTGCCGCCTCAAAACCCCATCATTCATCTTAAACTCTACTTGTTGAAAAAACCCAACAAGATCAAAGCTCCATAACCTAATCTCACATCCATGCACGTAGAAAATGGGATTTCCAGCCAAACCCGGCGTTGAAGCTATGTAACAGTACCGATAAACCGGTACAAGAACTGGGGCTTTTTTCAAAAACCCTTTAGCCAAATTCACAGCTTCTTCAATGTCATTTGGTCTCTCACCCCAAGATTCTAGCCAAAAATTATTTCTCGAGACTTCTCTGCACAGACCCAGAATCGGTAGGTTTATGAGGATTTCGAGTTGTTGGGTCGAAGAGGCTCGCCAATTGGGGAAGCCAGGGCCAATAGGAAGGCCTTCTTGGAGAATAGAGCGGAGATCAGGAGGGAATGTGAAGTGGAAGGTGGATTCGATGGTGGAGAATTCAGCGTCGTTGAGGCCTTGTTCGATGAATACGTCGGAGTTCTTGAGATGGTCAATGAGGTTCTTGGCGTAGGCTGCGAATGAGAAGCAGACTCGTTGTCTTGGGTTTGGATTGGTGATGGCGATTGGACGGGTTGGTTCTATGATTGTTGTTGCCATTCGGGATTGATCAAGAACACCTGAAGAGTCATGTAGCTTGTAAGTGTATGTGGAGAGAAAGAGAGAGTCAGAGAGGAGATAGGAGGAAATCGAGATATGTGGGGGATCTGGGTGGAGGTTTACATATCAAGAGCGTGTTTGACGGGGAAAAGTCTAATCCTTCAATACGGATTGGAAAGAAGAAGTCGTCACTCATTACTTCATTAGTTTGATTTAGAACACAGAGAGAGAGAGAGAGAGAGGGAGAGAGAGAGAGAGAGAGGCTCTTCGAGTAATTTTGTTCCGTAAAGTAGTCGTTATCAAAATTGGGGATTTGTTACCAAAATGAATGGGATTATATGAATTAAACAATAATCACAATCAAGTAATATTTTATATATATAAATAAATACGTCACTATTAAAATAAATAACTAATTATTATAATCTTCAAAAAAAATGTATCATACGACACGAGATTGAAGAGATACTCGATAAATGCATAATAAAAATACTAAAATGAAACGTAAGAAATTGATATTTACATTCTTCAACAAAAATTAACTAACCCAAAAAAATTACACGGGAACTCGGGATTGCTATTTTCTCAGCCAAATAAAATATTGAAAGAAAAAAATATTAGAGAAAATATAGATGATTGGTTTTTAATTCCTCCTCATAATCTGTGGACAAGACCTCTCCATAAAATTCTAAATTGATCCGGAAAACATGACTTCTCACGTTGTTATTTTCATTGTCCAATCACGCTGTGATAGTACTCACGTTGCCTGCCACCACTGCTTAGTTATCTTTTTATAAGGAAAATTGGTACTGGAAGATACAATATAATATAAAAATAATTTTGAATAATTTGAAATTATTAGATCAATTTATTAAAATTTATTTTATTTTATACTATAAATTTTTATTTAGGCACATGCTTTTAGGACAAAGTTCGAGGCTTCGAGAATTCTGGGTGTTGGGCTCTATAAAAACCTCCTCATTCCTCCCCCTCCATATGGCATTACTCTTTGCATAAGGACGTGTGAGTCGTGACGCATTACATATATCAGCTTGTATATATTAGTCTTTTCTTAGAGGTACCTTCACAAAAACATTTTTGTTTAATTTTTATTGGGTACATAAATAAATAATTTTTAAAAACTTTGGAATAAAATAAGTTAAGTCCGTAAATAAACTTTGGCTCTTTTACTAGTTTATGCAAGAAAATTTTGGATGCAAAAAAATTTATTTAGATTGATTCAAAGAGTTGATTTTATGACATTTTTTTTTTCTAATTTTGTAGAGTTTTGTCGTGAATCTCGCATAAATTTTTAATTTATTATATTTATAAAATATTATTAATGACGTAAGAAATATGAAATTCATATTTTGAGAACTATTATGCATGATTTATACATACATATAATTATTTTTTTTTATTTTAACACAAAAAACCAAAAAAATAGAAAATCACTCCAAATTAACTATTTCAGTTTTTTAAAGAACACTCCAAACAGTTTTGAGAGACTTTTTTAATTTTGACTTTTTTGTGAAACTTTGTAAACCGTAGTTTTTTACTTAAAAAAGTCAGTTCTAAATAGGTCCATTGTATCTCTAATTTTTTTTTGATATTTTATTATTTTTATTAATCAATAATTCATAATTAACTTATGATCCTGCCAAATCCCCTGATATGATTCTCCAAGTGGCAATTAATTTTGTTTAGATTTTGGCATGCTCTCTCTTGGATAGAAAAAACACAACAACTTCCTAGTTTTGTGTAGTTATTTGTTTGAACGGAAAGGTTTGTACATATTATCGTTTTGATTAACAACAAAGCAAAGCCACTGATGACCAAATCCATCCTTAAGTAAGGACTAACAGACAAGAGAGTGCTACTCAGATAGGAGTGTGATACAGCAACAACTTTTCTGCATCTTATCTGAGAAATAAATCACAATCTTGTTACGAGGGGTAACAGATATTCAAAGGAGAGTCCAAGTGGTTGTTTGCTGTTGATCAAATGGGCGTAGTTTTGATTTTAATCAATAACATACACCTCTACTGTCCAAAAATTAACAGCAGAGGATCCTCAACCACTTATCTTCTATATACTCGTACACAGGATTGTGAAGTTTTATGTGAATTTAATGTACATGTTGTTGGAATTCATAAGCTGAAGCTTGCACACCAATTTTGTTGTGGGGTTCTATGTTCCAACACCAAGTATTATTAAGGTGAAGCACAACAGATACCAACCTTTCATTTCTGTTGATCTGTCTCTGATTGCAAGATTTTCAACTCAAATCACGAGTACCCTTCTCTCTAAGTGAAAGAAATATGAGATAAGCTGAAATCAAGTATTTGAATCTTAGCATTTGTATTGGTGATCTTTGTTACAACAGGAAAGAGAAAATTCATGCTTGTCTACAAAATTTTGCTACACTTTTTTCCTCTGCATTAGAGAAGGAGTCGGCCAATGTGAGCTGGAATAGACATTATCGACTAAACTAAAACTCTTAAACATATCGTCAATCAAGCAAATGCCAAAAAAGAAAAAAAAAAAAAAAANAATGACCAGTCGCTACCCATAAAGCAACATTCTCTGCAAACTGCCCAACACCATGATAAAATAACAATGTTTAACATACGTCTAATCAAAATATGCAAAGCAGAAAAGACTAGGAAATATTTTTCTTACTTGTGCTTCCCAAAGCTGATAGAGCTGCTGAGAAAGTCCGTTGGGTGGCCGAATTACACCTCTCTGAAAGGATGGTGCAGATGCTTCCGAGCAAGAAAGCATTTGTGGTGGTGAAGAAATGTGGCCACACTTGTTCCAGTGAGTGTAAGGACCTGCTAACAAGAAAAACTCCAATTAAAGTTATTCACATTGACAAACAATTACTAACAGACAAAATTATACTTCAAAAAACCATTAGTACGTGAGAAAGAAAGATATTGCTCAACAATTTTGACACATAAAAATTCATAGTATCTAGTGACATGACCTTGTAGAAAAATTCTTAGGATCTTGTGACATTGTTTATGACAAATAATTAGCCGAAAAATATTGCAGATGTTTCAAATGAANACAATTTTGACACATAAAAATTCATAGTTCTAGTGACATGACCTTGTAGAAAAATTCTTAGGATCTTGTGACAATGTTTATGACAAATAATTAGCCGAAAAATATTGCAGATGTTTCAAATGAAGCAGGGAATATTCAAGGGGATTTGCCACAATCGCACCAAACCAATTCATCGCAAACATAGTAAACAAAAGCCATCAAACCTGTCGATGACAAGTTTACCTAGAAAGCCTGGACATGGGTTACCAACATGGCAACAAAATCCTGGAGTCTTAGGTTGGTTTGTTGCTGAAACTCCTCGATTGATAATGCCAGGACCTTGTGAGGTTACATCAGTGGTTTCTATGGGAGTAAATGGCTGATACAAAGTAGGTGCATTAGCTCCAAATAAATTGGTAACCAGGCTGTTGGACCAGCCAACAGGCTGTGGGATTTGGCTGCTGATGCTCTGATTGCTGCCGTTTGGTTAGAATGACCGGTGAGGCTGGCATGCTAGGAATGCAATGACTTGGGATCAATAGGGATTGCCCCACAGCTGGTTGGATTGTGTATCGCCTAGAAACTGGTTGAACCTGCTGTTTCAAGGAAGACACATTGTCATGTCAAGAGCTACCTATATTGGTATTCTTTCAGGCACTAGTGTGGTCCTGTTCTTCCTTGTTTTGCACATGGTTCAAGCCATCTCATTCAAGAAATACAAGGTGATTTTTAACTAGTGCAATGTCCTCTTCTCAAAATAGCAGTGAGATAAAATTATAGGCCATAGAAATTATTTCAACAACAAAATCACTAGAACAAAAAGAGCATTTACCACTTGAAATGTTGCCAGTCTCTTGTGAAACAAAGGAAAATACTACTTGCATTATTCCAAGAAGAGCACTACAAAACATACGAATAAAACTACTTAGGAAAAATGTTTATTTGTTTGGCGCCATATCCAGATAACACATTAACAAATAAAAATCATACTTTGCCACATAACCATCAAAGACAAAAGTAAGGTTGAATTTGGTAACGTTGTCAATTTTTTATTTTTTTTAAAAAATGAAAACAGAAATAGTTTTTATTTTTTCTATTGTAAAAAGTTAAAAAAAAACTTGTTTGGTTGCTATTTCTGTTTAAGAAAGTATGAAAACTAAAATAGAAAACATGTTTGGTAAGCACTTCAATTTATGTCATATTTAGAAGCTTTATTTTATTGCCCCAGTAAAAAAAATTAAAATCCATTATCCCAATGCATCCATAAACTCATCAAACAAGAGACAAATCAAAATTCACCATCACAAAGTTATTAAACATACCAATACATCCCATTGTTTAACATAAAATGAAATACATGTTATAGTAAGTATTGTCATACTTTGTCAAATATCATATCACTTAACTAAAAGCCCAACAATTAGTACAAATATCAAGAAGAATAGTGCACAATACACTGAATAGAAGAAAACTAGCTGGAATAAGAGTATCACTTACTCAAATCTAATACTTGAAGAGGGAAAATTTTCACTGCTTGAAGAAAAACAGTACTGAATTCAATCAACTACTGCATATACATTCTTTTGTAACTTCATGAAAACAGTGGATGGTATCTGTTTCTCAATTAGAGATCACCAGTGCAGATTGGTTGCAATTGTTTCAACCTACCATGGCTTGAACCCATTATCGCTCTTAGCCTCTTCCTCTAGAGTTATTAAGAGATTAAGATTCACAATGTAATAAATATCAAGAAGCTCTTGGTTTATTACCGTGGTCGCTTTGCCTCTGCTTCCAGAGAATCCATTGTTAGAATGAGCCTCCTTGCGACCACCATAAGCTTGGGCTGATGGGAAATCATTGAAGCAGATTGGGCACTCATGGTCCTTGCATCTTATTGACTCATAATTTGTCACCACCTCTCTACCAATTTCCTGCTCAGAAATATTGGGCACACATTCATACACACACACAGATGCAGACACACATTCAAAGTTTCTAGTGTAAGATCTATTTCCATTTGATTTAGATTACATAGTCATCACTTGGCCCTATTCATATCTTCACATTCATGACTGGATCTAAGTGGTCTAGAATCATGTAGGAGATTTTGGTGGTAGTTTCTAATGTCATGGTATATTGGGTCCTTCATTGACAAGGAAGATTTCGTCGAAACATTCATAATTAGTAGCAGAAAATAAAAAATCAGCAGCAGGAGGCAAAGGAAAAAGAGGACCTTTAGCATAAGATAAAAAGGGAATGATGAAACAAAATCTACTGTGTTGATTTTCTGGTAATAATTTGAGGAGGATTTACCAAACACCATTCGCGGTATGAAGCCTTGAATGTTTATAGTCAACCGTACTACACAAAACGTATGTATATTTTGGCAATGAGTCAAGTTTTTGGTGTTCTCTAGTGTAACTTGTAAAATTTAGATACTTTCTNGGTATGAAGCCTTGAATGTTTATAGTCAACCGTACTACACAAAACGTATGTATATTTTGACAATGAGTCAAGTTTTTGGTGTTCTCTAGTGTAACTTGTAAAATTTAGATACTTTCTGAAAAATTGGTAGCATTACTTGCTGAATTGCAGCCCAGAAAATTTGGTTGTTGCTGGTGTAAAAATTCGAGGAGCTTTACTTTGTTGCTTGAGAAGAGTTCTAAACATGTTCAACTATGAAGGCTACATGCCAACATGAGCTAGATGATTCTTTTGATTCAAGTCAATCCTTCGAGTCGTGAAAACAACAAGCTATCCTATCTAACTGTACTCTTAGAAGAAATATCCTCTAATTCATTAGAAGAACAAAAAGGGATGATCAGAACCATGATTCTTGAGACACAGTTCCAACATCAACCAAGTGCCTATATGGAAATTTCAAACAATTGTACAATACTAAATTATCAATAGTTGTAATTGCTTTGCAAGGAAAAATGAAGCAGTGCACCATGCTAAATCATTTGTTCAACCAAGGAGACACAGACGCACACACACAAATCAATGCATATATGTGCATATATATGCATGTATAAGCATATGTATGGAGGTCTATCAGCAGCAGTTTATTCGACATTCTTAATAGATGCCCAAATAAAAGAGCCACAAAGGCACGTAAANATGCATGTATAAGCATATGTATGAAGGTCTATCAGCAGCAGTTTATTCGACATTCTTAATAGATGCCCAAATAAAAGAGCCACAAAGGCACGTAAACAAGGAGGGAGACAATATACAGTATTTAAATTATACAGGATTCGGATAAAATTTAGAGCAATGCTATATATCATACAAATTTAAATTATACAGTATTTTCCTAAAATTTAATGCCCAAATACACATTTAAAATTCATACTTACTTTTAAGTTTTAAGTTTATAACGNAGGACTAAATCCTTCGCAAGTTTTGAGTTTAAAACCATCAGATAAATGGTGAAAGGAAACTAGAAACACATATACATAAGACTACATATCTTACCTTTGGTAGAGAGATGGCTTCAGAGAGAGGGGAGAGGTCGGTGAGAGAGAGAGAGCTTCGTAGGGCTTGAGTGAGAGAGAGAGACCAAGAGGCATATGGATTCTTTTCCTGAAAAATGGACAAATTGCTTCTAAGTAAGTTCGAAGGCTGGACCTCGTTAAACAACACGCGAGTTTTCGTTATTTTCATGTTTTTAAACACACTTTTTCTGTTTTCACAAAAATCGGAATTTTTTTTTCTTATAAAAAAAAAGAAGTAATAATCCGGCAATTTTATAAAAAGTGAAAACAAATATTAAAAACAGGAAATAAACACAGCTACCAAACAGGGCTAAGTTTTGTCGGTTGACCGAGGACTTAACCAGTGGATTTACGCCAATTCAATAATTATTTAGTAATGATACGTATTTTAAATTTATATCTTAAATTTGTATTCTAAATTAAAGAGGATTATTGGATCAATGAGTCTCATTTAAAAAAGTTAATGAGACTCATTAATCCAATAATCTTTTTTGATTTAAAATACAAATTTGAGTTACAAATTTTAGATACATAACATTTATCAATAATAGTTTGTCACGGACAATTTTTTCTTTAAATACCTCCAACGTGGCATGTCTTAATTGGATAGTGGAAATCCACTTGTTTATACAGGATTCGGATAAAATTTAGAATAATGCCCTATATCATACAAATTTGAATTATATAGTATTTTCCTAAAATTGAATGCCCAAATACACATTTAAAATTCATACTTACTTTTAAGTTTTAAGTTTATAACGGTTAATAATATATTAAAATACTTTTACTCTTTTTATTTTTATATCAGATCTTCCATTCGTGTAATACCTAACAACTTAGATCCATTCAATGTGAATATCCTCTATTCTTCCTCTAATATTTTGGGGTTCTATTGTTATTGTTAAGGGCAAAGTTTAATCACATGACTCGCATCGCATGTATTGTTGGATGAGCTCGCACAATTAACACCATTAATAGAATGATTAAATTACCCTGATACCCTCACTGTTGCCGTCTTCTTCGATATGTTTGGAAAATAAGGCCTGTAATCAAAAAAGAAAATCCAACACAATCAAAATAAAAATTCAGGCTATAAATAACAAAATGGAAGCTCTAACAAACAGTAGAATCAGAAATTGCACACATTTAAACCCAGCTGCGGAGAGAAATGGACATAGATTGCTTGTGGGTGTCTTTGTCGCAAGAGCACAGACTTGCAGCTTNTCTTCAACCCAATGGTATACATATACACACAGCTAATTATAGGATGTGTGTGTGTGTGAGAGAGAGAGAGAGAGGAGCTGCGGAGAGAAATGGACATAGATTGCTTGTGGGTGTCTTTGTCGCAAGAGCACAGACTTGCAGCTTGTGTAATTACCCTATGGAGTCTGGACACCATGTGCCATCTGGCAAGATGATCGTAGAATTAACCCAAAGCACTGGTACTGCAAGTGTGAAGTGTGCGACAACTTTTCTTCACTCCTCCTAAAATGCACTAACCTAACGATCTAAAAGAGAAAGAGAGAGAAAATGCCCTATAAACTATAAAGGGCTAAAGCGCAACACCCCCAAACCAAAAGGAGGTAAAATGGNCCACTCCTCCTAAAATGCACTAACCTAACGATCTAAAAGAGAAAGAGAGAGAAAATGCACTATAAACTATAAAGGGCTAAAGCGCAACACCCCCAAACCAAAAGGAGGTAAAATGGGATTTGCCTATTGTTAATGATCAAGAAATACAGAAGAAACACATCCAACATACCAAGAAACAGAGAGAGAGAGAGAGAGAGAGAATTTTATTATGCGTTGGTTTTTGGAAGGGACCAGGGTTNACATCCAACATACCAAGAAACAGAGAGAGAGAGAGAGAGAATTTTATTATGCGTTGGTTTTTGGAAGGGACCAGGGTTTAGCAGAGAAAGGAAAAAAGAAAAATATAAGAGAGATGCACAATGTGGATCAAGAGAGATTCCATTACCAAGAGATCTCTTGTTGGGTTATCTTCTTCATATGTATATGAATCAAATTCGTGATCCTTATTCTTGTCCATGCCTTGCACTGTACTTATTTGCGTCGTCTTCTTTGTGCATCTCCCTTCAAAACTTTTCAATCTCTTTCCCCTATTCAAGAAAAATACCCAATGTAAGAAGACCAACAGATTAGCTACATAGCCTACATTGCTTTCTCTTTCTAGAGAAAGCATAGTGGGTCTGAGCCATTAGAGACCTAGTTCGAGTGTCTTCACTTCAGTCCCCCCAGGGGAACGTGTAAGGAATATCTTTTTCTTCCCAGCCGCTTTCTCTCTCCCTTGTTCTTGATGCAGTTGTACACTGGTCAGGTCTGTTGCAACATTTTTTTTTTTTTTAGATTTTTTATATTTATTCGAAGAGCAATGCTATAAAATTCAAATGAAATTTAAAAAATTATAATTTCATTAAATGAGTGAGTTTTATCAATTTTTTCAGTAGAATCCACTCATTCTACTCGCATCCAAATATATGCATTTGAGCAATTGTCGACAGGAGCATAAAATTGTATAATTTTGTTAATTGTACTTCGCACTCTTATTTAGTCCATGTGAAANCAAAAAGTTATAATTTTATTAAATGAGTGAGTTCTATCAATTTTTTCAGTAGAATTCACTCATTCTACACGCATCCAAATATATGCATTTGAGCAATTGTCGACAGGAGAATAAAATTGTATAATTTTGTTAATTGTACTTCGCACTCTTATTTAGTCCATGTGAAACAAATTCCCATACCATAGAACATGTGAGAAGATGAGCATTTCTTATTCGTCGGAATGAAAAGTTATGGTTATTAAATTTGTATGCCAGATCATACAAATTTGTATATAGTTATGGTTATAATATAATTACCGTCATTGAAATACTAATAGAAGTCACAATTATTGTCATTGAAATATTAATAGAACTCATTTATTGATTGTAATGAGTGTTCCATATCATTTCNAATATAATTACCGTCATTGAAATACTAATAGAAGTCACAATTATTGTCATTGAAATATTAATAGAATTCATTTGTTGATTGTAATGAGTGTTCCATATCATTTGTTTGATATGAACATTTGGTAAGCAAAACATTACTTGTTACAGACAATAGAACCATTTNCTCATTTATTGATTGTAATGAGTGTTCCATATCATTTCTTTGATATGAACATTTGGTAAGCAAAACATTACTTGTTACAGACAATAGAACCATTTTATAGATTTCAGTCCGATGGTAAGAGTATGCCACGCCAAAGTAGGATGTTTTCCTCTACTCAGACTGGGGAATCATACTCCGGTTCGATTTGAGTCCCTGCAGACCTATAACCGAGGTCCCAGGGTCAATGCTCATGATGGAGCATAAACTTTGTGAAAACACACGAAACTTGTACGATAATTAATTTCTATTGCAAANCTCCGGTTCGATTTGAGTCCCTGCAGACCTATAACCGAGGCCCCAGGGTCAATGCTCATGATGAAGCATAAACTTTGTGAAAACACACGAAACTTGTACGATAATTAATTTCTATTGCAAAAAACAACATTTAATTTCTGATATAAATTCACAGTCATATTATCCAAGACGGGTACAATAACATTGTATCAATGCAGACAGAACCTGCGCAGCTCCAAACAAGTAAAATGCGGCATAGTAATGAGACCACATGACATAGGCGATGAAAAGATAGGAAACTGGCTAGCCAAGAACAAACATTCTCCCCTCAGTACTCGCCTCCCTCGTCACCATCCTCACCCTCAGCCGACTCAGCACCCACCTCCTCATAATCTTTCTCAAGGGCAGCAAGATCCTCACGAGCTTCAGAGAACTCACCTTCCTCCATGCCCTCACCAACATACCAGTGCACAAATGCCCTCTTGGCATACATGAGATCAAACTTGTGGTCAATGCGAGAGAACACCTCTGCAACGCTGGTGGAGTTCGAGATCATGCAAACTGCCCTCTGCACCATGGCAAGATCACCACCAGGAACAACAGTTGGGGGCTGATAGTTGATACCGCACTTGAAACCAGTAGGGCACCAATCGACAAATTGGATGGTACGCTTGGTTTTGATGGTGGCCACAGCCGCATTGACATCCTTAGGGACCACGTCACCCCTGTACATCAGGCAGCAAGCCATGTACTTGCCATGGCGGGGGTCACACTTGGCCATCATAGATGAGGGCTCAAATGCGCTGTTGGTGATTTCTGCAACAGAGAGCTGTTCATGGTAGGCCTTCTCAGCTGAGATGACAGGAGCATAAGATGAAAGCATGAAATGGATCCTGGGGTACGGGACCAGGTTAGTTTGGAACTCAGTCACATCCACGTTCAAGGCTCCATCAAACCTTAAAGAAGCAGTAAGGGATGAAATGACCTGAAACATATATTACAAGGAAGTAATGACCAAGTTGAACAGGTAAAAAGGATCAAGTTGAATATAAAAGCAAAAATGCACAATACCTGAGAGACCAAACGATTGAGGTTGGTGTAGGTAGGGCGCTCAATATCAAGGGAGCGCCTGCAAATATCATAGATGGCTTCATTATCAAGCAACACAGCAACATCAGTGTGTTCCAGAAGGGAGTGGGTAGAAAGGACACTGTTGTAGGGCTCCACAACTGAGGTTGAAACTTGTGGTGAGGGATAGACTGTGAAACCAAGCTTAGATTTCTTGCCATAGTCTACTGACAAGCGTTCCAGCAGAAGCGAACCAAGACCAGAACCAGTGCCTCCACCCACAGCATTAAAGACAAGGAAACCCTGGAGACCAGTGCAGTTGTCGGCAAGCTTTCGGATACGATCCAAACAAAGCTCAACGATCTCTTTTCCAACTGACAAGATGAATGTAGTTTGAGGCAGTTAGTTAACCTGATTGAAGAATAAAAAGGACCAAAAAAGGCGAAAAATATTTACTGGTGTAGTGGCCACGGGCAAAGTTGTTAGCTGCATCTTCTTTGCCGCTGATGAGCTGTTCAGGGTGAAAAAGTTGACGATATGTTCCGGTCCTCACTTCATCAATGACAGTGGGCTCAAGATCTACAAAAACTGCACGAGGAACATGCTTTCCAGCACGAGTTTCACTGAAAAAGGTGTTGAAAGCATCATCCCCTCCTCCGACGGTCTTATCACTCGGCATCTGCCCATCAGGCTGTCAAGATGCAAAATATCAGGTGAAGCAAAAAGGAAATTGTTTAAAAAATTCTGAATTGAAATGAAAAATGAAAAGTGAAATCCATGGTTGGAATTATTCCTTGTCTAACAAATACATGTTTAGGATCATGTTGCAGATATTGTTGCAATAAACTGAAACAAGAGAAAAGATGGAAACTTCAAAAATAAAAAGTGTATACATTTGGAAATATTACAAAAAATGAAGTAATGTGTCTAACCACAACATATATGAACAGGATAAAACAATCCATTCTGCAAATTTGCCTCAATTTTGAAAAATCCCCCACAAGTCACAAAGCCTGCAAACTGTGTCCAAAATAAGATATTAAAATATAAATTTTCAACCAAAAAGTTTCCTCTTCACACTTATACTAGGCATTACTCTTCGAAACAATTAGATTAGGCTAACAAGCACAAGCATAGACACGAACACATATAGGTACAAGTAGATACGACATTTTTAAAAAAATAGAACATTAAAAATATGCTATAAATAATTATATTTTATATGTAAAGTTATGTAATTTATCATAAAATTAGTGATAGTGATATATTATTTATAAGAAATGATTATTTTATGAGAAGTCATTGTTGTGTCTAGTCATCTAGTGTGATTTTTTAGACTAAAGAATCATAATAGGTAATAGGGAGAATTATAATTAGACTCCCTAATATTTGAAATATTACACACAAACTCTTTAAGGTTTGTACGTGCATAACACTTAGATCTCTACCATCGATATCTGTTAGTAAATTATACTCAGACCACCTGAAATTATAGGTGTGTAATACTTAGACCCTTTAAGTTTAAAATGTTATACTTAGATAAAAAATACTTCAATTAAAGATAGAATATCAAATATTTTCATTTTTATAACCAAAATTTATGTTCTATTATGACATTTATTAAAATAAAATCAAAATCTAATTTTTTATTAAAAAATCATAATTAGTATACGATTATACCATCTATTAGAATAAAACAAAAAAATCAAATAAGGGGTCAAACTGTAATAGACACAATATCTTCTAGTTTTAATTAGGGTAATTTGGTAGTTTAATTTGATCATTTAAACAACCAAATATTTATTGTAATAAAACTAAAAAATAAATAAGGGGTCAAACTGTAATAGACAAAATATTTTTTAACTTTAATTGGGATAATTTGGTAGTTTAATTTGATCGTTTAAACGATCAAATTAAATTTCAATAAATAGTATAATTATATAATAATTATAATTTTTTTTAAAAAAAATTAGATTTTTATTTTTGATTTTATTTTAATAAATGTCATAATATAAAATAAATTTTTATTGTAAAATTTAAAATATTTGATATATTTTTTTTATTACAGTATTTTTTGTCTAAGTATAATATTTTAAACTTGAAGAGTTAAATATATTATACGCCTACAAACTTTAAGGAGTCTGGGTATAATTTATTAATGAATATCCTAATGGTCATTAACAATAGGGGTTTAAGTATTACACGCATGCAAATGTAAGAGGGTCTGTGTGTAATATTTTAAATAAAAATGGTTCTGAATGATTAAGTGACAAACCTCAAAATATTTGAATGTAAGTCTCCCAAGTTAATAATCATCAATTATTTTTAGACAATGTGTACCCCACATGTAGAATTTAAATAATTGGTATTGATTTATCTTTTTTAAAACTTTTATGCTTCTACTTTTATTATTATATTTTAAGTACAACTTTAATATCTCTATTCTTGGCAATAATATGTTCTATAATAACATAAGACTCTGTCAATTTTTTTGAGTTTTGTTAATCACTAGATAACATATGTTTATTATTTAATAGTAAGTTTTTTATACAGAGACATTACCAAAGAAGTGTTGAACACGTGTTGAAAATTAAATTTTTATTATTTAATTATAGTCATGATAAAAGAGTATCGAACATGTGTTTAAGAATTTTTAAAGAATGTCGGTGTTTGACACGTGTTCGTTATCTTATTGGACACTATATTAGGGTGGGTCATTTCACGTCGGATTGATTTCGAGTTTGTGTCAAAAATCTCACGTGTTTAATAATTTTGTCGACCTAGATATTAAACGGGTTATCCGAACCTGATCTGTTTGACATGTTTAATAAACAAGTCGTTTTCAGGTTAGAACACATGTTATTTTGACCTGTTTAGAACACATAACACAAACCTGTTTAACAACATAACTTCTTTCCACACCTGTTCATTGCCATTAAATACATCATTCAATCATTCATTTAAATTTTCAAATAATTTTTTTACAAATAACATATTTCATCTCATCAATAAAATTAACTAAAATGTATTCAAGTTTCAACCCAACAATTAAAGAAAGAACTAATAAGTAATAATGTTAAGACCACATCAGTCATACATAATAGGCAAACTATACTGTCATAAACGGGTCTACAATGGATTGAGTATGGTTCGTGTCCAAATCATGTCAACTCGTTTGAAATAAACGGGTTAATCAGGTCAAAATAAGACAACCTAATTTTGACATGATTGTTTTCATGTTTAAGTGTATTGACATGTTTTAATCCATTAACTCGTTTAATTTCTGTCCAACCCATTAATTTTGTATTCGTTGGCTCATATCGTATTAACGTGTTGAGTTAAAAATAGATAGTCCTATTATACGTGTCCAAAGAATGTGCGTGATTCATAAACATTAGGTAGTTTATTTTGGAGAAAATGCAGGAAATAGAAATTGCAAGGCACTATTAAATCGCATTTCACCAAATCAACATAAAGTCCGTACGAAACCTACAGATTTGTTGTAAAATGTTACCGAAAATTAAAATAAAAAAAATACTAAATTTGTATAAAAAGATTGGAAGAAATAATCCGAGCACATTGATAAATGATCGATCACTTAAAAAATTTGGTTTCATTGAAGATAGATTTGATGCATATAGATGATAATACCATAGATCTGAGAGTAATGGATCTCTATTTATGCGTCCTCTTATCCTCATTTGGTCGATGTAGATGATCATGCCGTAGGTTAGTGTGCATTATAAATCTAAATCTTGACGGACCATCGATAAAAGGAAGCATAAATAGAAAGATTGATTCTCAGATCTAAGGCATGATAAATCTATCTTAAGGGAGACCGATTTTTTTATAAGAACTGTTCTTAAAAAGAATCAATCAATCCATACAAGTGAGGTACAACATTAACATAAAAATTGCTAGAAAAAATGAGCCACAAATTCATCAGAATTAAGGTATCAAAATTTTAGATCCGATCAAATCCAAACAAGATAGATGTATAAGCAATATATATTCAGCAAATGGATGATCTGAATTCAGTGATCAACGAAGATACGAAGAGAAAAAAACATACCTGAATGCCATGCTCGAGGCAATAAAGTTCCCAGCAGGCATTGCCCACCTGAATTCCGGCCTGACCAATATGAACCGAAATGCACTCTCTCATTTTCGCTAATCAACACAAAAACTGAGCAAAGCTCAAAGAAAGGATCACTAGAAACGTAGAGAAATGAAGAAAAATAGAGAGAGAGAGAGAGAAGGAATTCGTAGGCGTGTATTAAGACGCCTGTCTGACCTTGTTGCAGTTCACAATGTGCTCTGTGGCTTTGGTTTATATATATAGGAGGAGGGAATGATGGGATCTGAAAACTGTAAGCGGAGGGGTGTTAACCGTGGTTAGTTGACCGTGGTATAATCTTATTAATGAAGATTCCCTGTTGGCTAACCAAACCTTGACATGTTACGACCCATTTAAACATTTAGTTATTTACACGAATTACAGAATTAGATTTTAATTCTGTAATTGATAGCCCTGTCAATAGATTAGATTTGGGTCAGCTCTAGGTCTATTCAAATTTGATTAAAAAATTTATACCGAATTGATATGTAGATTCGATGGATAGAAATAATATATTACCCTTTTTTTTTTCTTGTGGAAAAAGGGTTATTGAGCAAGAAATCAAGATGTGACAATGTTTATTTTTCCATAGTTTCAATGATCAATGCCATAGTATTTATACGAAGACATAATTCATAAAATGATCTCGAAAATTATTTTAAAAAAAAAAAAAAAAAGATTATTTGCATTTGATCTCTTATGTATGGACAAAAAACATGTATACTGTATTGTTAATTTATAACTTAGACAACGATGTAATTATTGAGGTAATATAAGGTAGAATATCTTCATCAGAATTCTTTCTGAAAACATTGATCTCACCCAAGTTGGATGCAGATCTTTTGGTAGCTAGCTAGTTAATTTCCAATAAACATAGATGCCTTTTCATTTTTGAGGCCCACTAGTACCTTAGGCTATTCAAGATGAAAGTGAGTGACTCACCTCATTCACCTTAGCTTTAACTCCAAGCACTTATTAGTGGGCCTAATGTCCTCCCCAATCTCCAATGAAATCCTACGACATGTTATGATGTTTAATAATTTTTTTTTTTTTTTTTTTTTAGACATAAATTCACCTTAGGCACAATAGCTTGGCTTTTTTTCCTAAAATAAATAAAAACTGGTAGGTTTAATGACATAAAGTTGATCAAGGTTTATACTTACTATACTCTAACCCTTGAAATTTGAGAATTTGCAATTATCTCGAGTTTTAAGATTAACTAATAGTTAATCACTCCATACTAGCTAGATTATATCAATGTCAACAATATTTTTTTAAAAAAAAAATCATGCTAATAGATTTTCTCCCTCCGCCCACACCCTGATTCCTATAACTTTTCTCCTACTGAATCTAAATCCCCCAATCAATGGAACCAGTCCCACAATGAACAAAGTCATCATGAGCAACACCACGATCAAATAAGATCATAGAGACTGAAGAGAGAGTGCTCCGCCACCCCCTTACTCGGAGTGCAAATAGAGAAAAGAGAAGATAAGAGTATATGACTTTTGTGTGTGAGGATGGTGGGGTTTTGGATTAGATTATCTGTAGTGAATTCAATTAGGATGTAATTTATTTTAGTAATAGAATGGATGAGACAAATGATGAACAAACACGAGAGTTTGTTGGGCATGGGTTTCTAACCCAAAAGGCTCACCTACCCGCTCTTTTATATGGCTCAGGACCTTCTCATCACCAATGGAAGTGAGACAACACAAACGAGAGTTTGGTTGGAGATGTTCAACTGAGGTGGGATATGGATTGGTGTTCGGGGGACAAGGGTTGCAATCGTTGGAGGTGGTTTTGGGGAGGCATGGGTGAGGTAGGGTGGGATGGGGGAAGAAGAAAAGTGGCGCGACAAAAAGAAGATAAAAAGATCGGTTAATTTGGGTTGTAGGTTGAAGTTTATTTAGAATTAATCAAAAAGTCAAACGTAAGATCGATAGTAACTTCTCAACCATCAACGGAGGGCGTATTTTAACTATAAATTTTGAGGGCATTTTGTTTGAGTTGATGTTCAGAGACCAATCAGGGAAAAAGTGCTTGCAAGTAAAAAAAAAAAAACAAGTGGCTAAGTGATAATAATAACTGAAAGCGTTGCACATTTTAACCTGGAGTTGCCGACGAAGAAAGAGAAGGCCTAGAATGAGAGAGAAGAGTCTGTCAGTTTAGCTAGGATGACTGCCCACAAACAACCCAAGGGTTCCAAAAGAATAACACACATATTTCGTACTTGAGACCCCTTTGGAAGATAGAGGGCAAGTCATCCTTGGCTACCAAACTAGACTCTCACTTTCATTTTAGGCATCCCTCCCTGAATACATAATTCCTTTGCAATGGAATGTGAATGCTATGGCACAATTTGCTCATGCACCATGCATAACTTTGACATGATGACACCAAGGTCGAGTCCCACTTTTTGTCTAAGAAGAGAAGGCCTTGCATGAGAGAGAAAAGCTTGCCATCAAGCAAGACTCTTCTCTATTCATGTAAGACCTCTCTTCCTATTGAGTCTGGGGCTCCTTGGGATTTAAGTGCTTGGTTTTAGAGTCACTATATATAGCCACAGATCATGCGGATAAGATTTAGAGCATCACATGAATTAGCCCCCATGAGTATCTTCTGTTTCTGTTTCTCATCTGCATTATTCAGCTGATCAAGAAGGAATATATGCTGTCTGGACACGAAGACAAGATCGACGCATCCACTTGGTACCCCCTCCAGAATGTCAACCGAAATTAAAATCCGGCTTGGTCACCAGAATCACTGCTTGGCAACTTGCACTAAGTCAATTTCCCAGACACTCCATTCCTTCATAGCATGCAAGGTTCTGAGATTATAGACTTACTTAAATTGTGCAAAGGAAGACTTTAAGTTGTGTTTGTTTCTAAAGAAGAATTTCAATGTTTAGGCCTTGGCAACAATAGATAAATGCTTAGGCCTTGGCAACACTATATAATGTACTATTGTTTTAGGCTCCAGTTAGGCTTTCAAGGTGAATATCTTCCTAGTTTTCTCAACATCAAAGCTTCTTCAGACATAAAGGGACTGGCAAGATAAAGGGTCACAAATTTACCTGTAGAAATTTCGGATATGGAGTCGGGTCAGGTTTCCCATGGGTGGACATTGAAGAAATTTAGAATACAAGAGAGAATGAGATAGAACAGAGAAGGACAACAAGACACAAAAAAATATGTGATTTGACAAATTGTGTCTACACCTATAGACCAAGCACCGTAAAGGGCTACATTGATGTTTATTCCGTGGTGATTGATTATGAGAACATTATTTCTATTTATAGGGTAATTTTTTATGAGATAAAAGATATATTACATATGCTTATCATCATTCTGAATTCAATAGAAATTGATAGATTTCAATGAATCTTATCATATCTCTAATACATCGATTATGATAAATCGATTTAGATCCTATTATATTCTCTAATAGATATGATTCCATAAGGTGTAGGTTGGTTGAAGGAGTTTGATCATAACCACTTGACACCCACCACACTCTCTCTCCTCTCTAGGTTTTGAAACTCTTTAAAAAGGTGTATATATCTCAAAAACATCAACAGAAAAATAGTCATCATTCTCACTATATAATTCCTCCATTCTTCCACCGAAGACCAAGGCAAAAAAAAAAATTGGAAAAATCCACTACCTATATCAGGTTCACTTCAGGGGAAATAATCAATGTCCCCCCCCCCCCCCCCCCC